CTACATTTATATTTGTGTAAAAAAAAACCTTTTTCATAGTGGTTTATAACTTTTCCTGTGTTTTGTTTTAGTTCTTATTTTAAAACACCACAATTTTGTGAAATCCTATCCTTATTTCATAGGTGCAGAAGTGGACAATTAGAGAAGCTAAGTAACTGGGGCTGTATAATTAATAGGAGGCAGAACTGAGGGTCAGATCCCAGTTTCCTATATCTGCATTCTGTGCTTTTGCCACAACTTTAATCTGCTGTTTAGTTAAAGGTAAATAAAAAGACAAAACTAGCAACAATTATGTGATAACATATAAACAAAATACTCACTTTCTAAAACACCATCTGTTTACCTCTTCTGACCTGTTATTTATGGTGATGTAATTTTATATAGTGTCTCCTTAACACATTTACACCTTTACACATTTGACTTTGTTTTAAAATTACCATTGCTTGTTAATTTCCAAAATGTTTTGCAGTGTTCACATTTCTCATTTCTAGTAGCAATATATTCTATCGCATTAGTATACCATTTTCCCCCATAGACAGACATTTGGACTATTTCCAGCTTTTAGCTGTAATATATGGCTGCAACTATAAATATTTTTGTAAAAATGTATTTTTTAAAACTATTTCTTTGTGATATAGTGTTGGGAATGCTGGGTCAGAACTGTCACTTAACAACTTTTCTAAATAGAACTCCCTCCTGGAAGTCTGTACAAGTGTACTGCCAGCAATATAAAAACAAACCCAAACCCTTCTACCAAACCAAAGGTAGTGTATGGTTTTTCCACTTAATAGATGTGAGGTGATACTTTAATACTTGTTTTAATGTGCATGTTTGTAAACTACTGTTGTTTCTGGTTATTTTCCCAGTGTTTATCATGTGAACACTGTGTTACTTTTCTATCTGCTACTGGATATGGATGATAGGATATTGGACACAGGGTGTTATCCTAATAGATTTGTATCAATCCCTTAAAAGTTTTAGGGATAAAACTTGTACCTATATCATTAATTGTTAATTTCCCCCAACTCTGTTGCTTTCATTATAATCTCTTTTTTCTTCTTTGGAGTATTCAAAATTTAAATACTTAAGAATCTTCTTAAAAAACTACTTTAAATTTACTCTTTGATTTTGGGGGGCTTTATTAGATGTTTTGTGATGTGAGATAGTAATCTAAATCAGTTTTTTGCCCTGTTGATATTCAGTTTTATCAAAAACATTATTATTATTTTAATGAGTATTTCTATCTTTACCACAATATTGCATTGTAGAAAAACTGGAAAATACAGAAAAATACAAAGAAAATAAAAACACCCAAAGTTGGCTATCCACAGTTAACTATTTTATTTTATTTTTTTAGAATATAAGTTTTTAAATTTTTATAAATAACTTACACAGTTAACTATTTTAGAGTATATTCTTTCAGTGTTCTTTCTAGGCATGTGTATTTTTCTTCCCTCCCTCCTTTCTGATAAAGCTGGGACATACAAACCCAAGAACACTCATTAAGTAGTGGTTTCTTTCCTTACCTTAAAATTTTACTTTATTATATCTTATCAGTTTAGGTCATTTCTGACAAAGATTTCTGGCAAAGATTGACATGAAATCATGGATATATAAAAATAAAAAATATCTGTATGGATAAAATACTATAAATTAAAAAGAAAATAATAAATTAGAAAAAAATTGACATCAGAGAATATATAAAGAGCCTTTAAGCAAGAAAAAGACCATTATTATTAATAGGAAGAGGGACAAAGGGCATGAACCAGCATTTCGCAGAAGAAATGCTAATGGTTTTCAGACACAACCAGATATTCAGTCTCATCCATAATTAGGGAAAAAACATGTTGAACAGGGAGGAATCTTTTTTTACTTCTTAGAATGGTAAAGATAAAAGAAAAAGTATCAAGATCATGAAAATAAGGAAAGACTGAGAAACTGCTATAAAGCAGAGGAGACAAAGAAGACATGATAACTAGATGTACTGTGGGCGCTATAGGGCTCCTGAAACAGAAAAAGGCATTAGTGGAGAGTTTGTGGACTCTGAATAAAATCTGGAGTTTAGTTAATACTAATGTACCAGTGTTAATTTCTTAGTTTTGACAAATATACCATGGTTATGTAGGATGTTAACATTATGGGAAACTGGATGAAAGGTATATGGGAATTCTCTGTACAATCTTTGTAGCTTTTCTGGAGATCTAAACTTATTACAAATTGTTTTTTAAAAATGTTTATTTTTAAAAAGAAGAAAATTGGGCAGGTATGACTCAGTGGTAGAGTGTGTGCTTGGCACACACAGGGTCCTGGGTTCAATGCCCAGTGCCTCCATTAAAAAATAAGTAAGAATAAATAAACCTAATTATCTACCCCCTCTAAAAAAAAACCTTGAAAAAAAAAAAGAGAAGAAAATCAGAGATATTCCCAAATAAACATCATAATAGAGTTTGGGAAGTATAAGTTGGTATAACCAACAATGACAAATTGGATGTATCTATCAAACCCCCCCCACTATTTCCTTTGATCCATTCAATATTATTTATAATAATTTTTTCCTCCAGAAATATCCTTGCATGTAAATAAAGGTATAAAGACATTTATTGTTTATAACAGCTGAAGTCTGGAAACCTTTTAAATGTCGATCAGTAGGTAGTTGATTAAATAATGATTGAGTCACACAGTGGAATTCTATGCAGCTGTTAACAGACTGAGACGCTCTACGTGTATTGATATGGAACGATCCCCAAGATATATTGTAAAGTGAAGAAAGCAATGAGTAGAATAGTATACTGCTGTTTTTTAAATTTAAAAGTGGGTATACATATAAATACACACATACCCCCCATTATATATGGTGTATAATGGTTGCCTCTAGGGAGGGTCTCAGCCAGAAATGAAGAGAATGTCTCACTTTTGCGTTATTAACCTTCTATACTATCTGCATTTTTCTTTTACCATGTGCTTTGATTACTTTGTTAATAAAAAATAATTATTCTCTATAAATAAATGAAAGGAGGCTAGGAGGCAGAGTTATCACTTATCTAGGAATGGATTAGGTATCTTCTCTTTCTGTCTGCCAAAACTATCCTTTCTAAGCTGTATCTGTTAGAATCTTGAAAGCAGGACTTGCTTGCTTTCTTTTAGTAAAGGATAGTAAATGTGAAGGTATAGTAGAAACAGGGAGAAACATGTGTCTCTCTCCTTTTCTCAGTAGACTTGGCAGTTACCGCTCTGTGTTCCAAGCAGTGTAACTTGTATTGCCCAGTGGAGCAAGCCAAGGGGACCCAGGGGAGATACAGGGGCCTGAAATGAAATGTTCGAATTCTTGCCCTCAATTTCAAAATTCCATCTAAATGTGAACTTTCACAGGGGCTTTTTTGAGCTCTTCTGCGTATCCCTTACCACTCTAGCCCACCCCCAAACTATGCCATTCTTGCTGCCGCTGTGCTCCCACATCTCTTCCTGCTCTAAGTTCCCTCATCCAGAAAGTACTATTGATACTTCCCCTCCAACATTTTTTAATGAAAAATTTAAAATATATAGAAAAGTTGAATGGTTTATACAGTGAACACTCATACACCCACCACCTAGAGTCTACAGTTAACATTTTACTATGTTTGCTTTATCATGCATTTCAAAGTGAGTTGCAGATATCAGTACACTTTACCCCTAAACACTTCTGTATGCATGCGTATCATTGACTAGAGTATATTAATTTATGGTTCTTTTAAAAAAATTTATATACAACAAAATGCTCAGATCTTAAGTGTATCATTTGATATGTTTTTGACAAATGCATACACACATAACTCAAATTCCTTCAAGATTTAGGTATAGGATATTACCCCAGAAAGTTTCTACCTGTTCTTTCCCAGTCAGTTCCTGTCCCCAGCCTGGTGGTAATCACTTTTTAATTTTTTCACTGTGGATTAGTTATCTTTCTTCTCAAACTTCATATAAATGGAATCATGAAATATGAACTCTTTTGTGTAACATTTCTTTCATTCAGCATGTTTTTAAGATTCACACACATTACTATATGTATCAATAGTTCTTTCCTTATTATTGCTGAATAGTATTCCATTATATGACTATGCACTGAAATGTGTTTATCCATTTGCCTCTTGATGGATGCCTGGGCTGTCTACAACTTTTGGCTGTTGTAACTAAAGTTCCTATGAATATTCTTGTATAAGTCTTTTTGTAGACATACGTTCTCATTTCTCTTGGGTAATTGCTAAGTCATAGAGTAGGTTTACCTGTATGTTTAGATTGACAATAAACTGCCATACCTTTTCCCAAAATGGCTCTACCATTTTCCTTTCCCACCAAGAATGTAGGAGAGTTCGTTACTGGCTTTCAGAAAAAATATATATATATACACATACACACAGACACACACATATACAGAGAGGATTTCTTCATATTTTTTGAATATAAGCCCTTTGTCAGATATGCATTTTATGAATATTTCCTCCCAGATTGTGGTTTGTGTATTCATTTTGATGAGTAGATTATTTTAACTTTGATAACATCTAATTTATTGGAGTTTTCTTTTATGTTACTGCTTTCTGTGTCTTAAGAAACTGTTGCCTACCCCCGAGTCACAGAGATATTTTTATACTTTTTCTTCTAACAGCTTTATAGTTTTAGATTTTATGTTTAAATCTGTGCTCTATTTTGAATTAATTTTTCTGTATGGTATGAGGTAGGGATTTTTTCCACATGGCTGGCCAGTGGTTCCAGCGCTCTTTGTCATCCTTTCCCTATTAGATTGCTTTGACATCACTATGGACACTTTAAAGGACAGGCTGTTCTTGTTGGCTTTCTTGGTTATCCTAGTATGGAGAGAGAAGAGTTATTTCTTTCTTGTCTCTTAACCCCTTCACTTATATATCTAGATATTTGATGTTCCTGAGTCCTGACTTGTAAGCCTGTGGAGTTTTTTCTGGTTGGCAATGAGTTGTAGTGATTGGATTATCTGTTCTGCCCGGACACAGGATGGCCAGTGTACCAGTGAAGGAACGGGTGAGGGTGTCTCAGAACTGGAAGTTGGGGCGCTGCCGAGAGGGGATTCTGCTGAAATGGAGATGCAGGTGAGTAGCCTCTTGACTCTTTTAAAGCTACCTGGGACATAAAAACATTCTGGAAAGTGAAAAATCTGGTCCTAGCTGGAGTGTAAATGTGCCTGTCTTGGGTGATGGGGCACTGGTGATCCATAAAACACTACCACCAAAGGGGCACCAGAGGGACAACTTTTTTCACATTTAAAAAGGATTACAAAAAATGTATCTTAACAGATCCCATATTTTTATGATCATACAAATAACTGTTTATTGTATAATTTTGAAAAAAATTTAAAAACTTAAGAAAATAATTTACCTATAATCTTACCATTCAGAGGTAACCTATGTTAATGCACCTCATCAAAAGAAATGAATGAAACCAATATTTCATCCCATCTTGCTTTATAATTATTTTTCTTTAAATCTTCTACTCTAGGAAGTTACACCTTCACTCTTGGCTTCCTGTAGCCCTCTCCCCTACTGTTATTAAAAAGCAAAATAGGATCTAAAGGTTTGGATGTATAAGTTATCGGAGGTAGAACTTAGAAAAAAATGGCAGGATATTTAGATAATGGCTTTTGTACTGCTAATGCCACACATTTTATGCTTCATTGATGCTAAATTATGTCATAGTTATTTGATTCCCTACCAAAAAAGTGCTCCTTGTTGATTGGTTGGAATGGATAGGGAACATCATGATTCCTCATTCCATCTGACGTAGATCTGTGCTGATAGGTCCAGGCAGGCTTCTTCATCTGATGACCTTTTCTCTTTTGCTTGTGTCCAGTTTCTGCTGCTTTCACTGACACAAGTTGCTGTAAAATTTGTGGTGGCAGTGATTATAAAGAAACTACAGGGGAGACATATGGATTTGTACAATGAAGGACTTTACCCTCTGCTTTCCACTTATGCCTTTTAATACCAGAAAGTAGAGTTTATTTCTCTGTCAAGGTTTTGTCCCTGACGTCTTTTTGAGCTGGTTTCAAGCAATTTGGCAAACAAACACACAAAACAGTTACCAGGCTGCCCCGGGATTCTCCACCGTTCACCTGGCATGAACCTGGTTTCTTGTCCTGGGCAAATGGCTGCTTACCAGATGGCTCTAAACACATGAATTTCAAACCCCTCCACTCGCCACCCACTTGAGTGTGCCACAAACTCGTGCAAGGGGATGTTGAAGAGGAATGTGCATAATGAGTGAGAATGTAGGCATCTGTACGCACTCTACACATGTTCCATGTAATATATGCACACATTTGTAAAAACCTCATGTGCAGAAACTAGTTACTACAAGTCCAAGCTGCATTTAATGGCCCGTCAAGTCAATTTGCAGAACTTTTCCACATTCCCATGACGCTTGTATTAAGGAGTCTGGGGAAGAAACACAACCCAGTTTGCTCAGACAGGCTTGGCAGTGGGAGATGGTGTCTCTGTAAATGGGGATGAATCAGCTGTCCCTATGCTTTGCTTGGGATCTGGTAGTTCCAGGACCTCTATATGGTGTAGGACAGACTGCTGGGATGTCTACCTTGGGAAAGGGGCTTAGTTCCCACCAGAGAGCATGGTGTCTGCCAGCATCTTCTCTCTTCTTAAGGCTTGTTCCATGTCATAGGACTGGCCTGTGGCTTCTATCCTTTCTTCCTCCTGCCAGATTATAGAGGGAATCTTTAACTATTTGTGGATTTCTCTTATCAGCTGCCTGTGAGCGCCAGCTATTACTCTGTAGCCCCTAAACTGTAGTAGACTGCCCTGGAGCTCTGTTTTTCCATTGCCACATTTACCCTCTAATACAGAAATGTAGATATCCCCTGTGAGGACCTAGGTATTTAATCAGTACATTAATATCCTTTCCTAAATGGGTTTATTCCTTTCACTTAAAAATGGCCCCTTTGCTCTAGTAGGACAAGGGAATGGGGCTTCCCTGGGCTCACTCTTGTCTTTCTCTGTCACACCTTAACTGATCTATTGGGAAAGAGGTGTGTATGGGAGTCTTGGAACCTTGAACCTGATCACTTACACTTTAAGTCAGTGAGGACACAGAATGAAAGAAAATTGTTTCATCTAGATGGAAGGTTTCTTTCTGCCCTTTCCCACTCCTCAGTCATTGCATTTTCTAAGCTCTGCCTACCCACAAGAAGTATAGGTAGCCAGTCATTCAAGGCTTAAGCATTCTCCATTTAAAAGTGATATTTAATTGACATTTTAATTCTGACTCTCTTTTAGAAAGTCCAAGGAAGATTAGGTCACCACAAAACTCAATCACTCTAGTATTCTGAGGGTAGCCTAAGGGTAGGTAATTTTGAAGGAGGAGGATGAGGTGTAGACTTAGCCTTGCAAGTTATGCTTGCTAAGTTGAGGATTGGTCAGCCTCTCCAAAGACTGGAGTTGAGTTTTCATGCTATATCTTGATGGTCCTTAAATTGTCTTCTACTTCTCTGCAGTCAGATGCCCTGGATGCAACTAGAAGGTGATTCTTTGTACATATCCCAGGCTAATTTCATCCTGGCCTATCAGTTCCGCCCAGATGGTGCCAGCTTGAACCGGAGGCCCCTGGGAGTCTTTGCTGGGCATGATGAGGATGTTTGCCACTTCGTGCTGGCCAACTCACATATTATCAGTGCAGGAGGGTAAGTGCTGCAGGCTTCTCCTACTTCCCTTCTCCTTAGCATTCTTCAGGAACCTTCTGTCTGCTTTTGACTTTCCTGTCTCAGCTCCAAAGGGATGAGGAGGGAGACTAGAAGAAAGGGTAGTGGGTTTTTTTCTGTTTAAAGTGGGGAGATTTACCAAAGACACTTAATAGGGTTAGTTGGGGAAGGAAAACAGGAAGAGCCTTTAATGAAAAGTGAAGCTGGTTTTGATACTCTCAAGGGGGAAATTTGTTTTGTCTCTCAGCTCTGTTTAGCCCCAAGTGTACTGAAGAAGTAAAATTATCTAGAAACTCAGCACCTTATTGGGCTGAATTGCTTAAAGCTTAGCAAATTTGAACGTCATTGGGGACTCAGGCTGTTTCTGTAGACGTTTTCTCTTCCTACAGAGAGAATAATTGGCTTTTGGGGGTGGGCTTGTTACTTTTCTTGTAGAGATGGGAAGATTGGCATTCATAAGATTCATAGCACCTTCACTGTCAAGTACTCAGCCCATGAACAGGAGGTGAACTGTGTGGATTGCAAAGGGGGCATCATTGTGAGTGGCTCCAGGGACAGGACAGCCAAGGTAAGGTGGTCTCCCCCTTACATACTGTTATTCCCTCTTGTCTATAGGGAGTAGGGTGGGAGAGGGTGGAGAGAACCTGGAGTCTTGGGATTGGCTGAGGGCATTGAGTTGGGGTGGTGGGGAAATGACACAATAAAGAACTCACTTATGTGCCTCTGGCATGCAGCTTGCCATGCCAGGCTCTGTTCCTGCCAGCTGGCCTGGGAAGGGAGTGGACAGTGGCTGGGAAGCTTGCCACTCACTTGAAATGTGGCGTGAACTCAAAAACAGAGGGCCTGGGCAGCTTTTCCTCCCTGAGCTGAGTTTCCTCAAGTTTGTGGGTTGAGTTCTGACCCCAGTATTTTATTTTAAAATCTCCCTCCTTTTGCTCACTCTCTATTTAGCAAAGTTAATTTTTTACCACCTTGTTTATAAGCAATCGGGCTGATAATTAAAATGTGTTTTTACTGCTTCTCCGGAGAGTGACGTGGTCAGTAAGCAGCAGAGAGACGATGGGAGAAGGGTGTTGTTCGTTGCGTCATTGCCAGGCTGTCTGGTCTACAGTCAGACATCTGCCAAGGCCCAACAGAATCAAGCTAATAAATAGTGTAACCCCTGCTTTATGGACTCAGTTCATCCACATCTGGGTCAAATAGGCTTCCACCCATGAAACAGAACTTCCTCCATCCCTGTGTCTAGTAGCCTTTGCCAGGGCCCACACATGCCTTGTCCCTTGGGGCTGCTGTGGGAACTTTGCTGACAATTCAGTTGATGGTGCAAGAGACTTGATAGGTTCTTGCTTGTTTGTTTCCCAGCATCTGGAGACCTCACAGTGCTAACAGAGCAAAATGCTCATCCATGTCAGCAAACGGGGGCTCTAAGACACAGAGAGAGAGGACTTAGGACAGAGAAGTTGCAGACATTCTCACTAACTTTTCTGACTCTAGGTACCCTCTGTTGATTACACCTTCATGTGAAAATGTTGTTAATTTATGTAAAAAGGACTAAATATGTTCCTTTCTATTTATGGAAGTTTCTCCTCCCTTTGCTAATTTTTCCCTTACACTTTGTATTCTGGCAGGAGGATGTGCACAGTAGCACAAGGGAGCCTGAGAAAAATCCAAAAAATCTTTTGAATCAACATGGAAACTAAATTTTCTATCTCCTGCCCCCCACCCCCCACACCCAGTACTTACTTCAGGTTTCTGATTGGTCACTGTCTTTGTACCATTCCTTGCAAAGAGACCAGCCTTAACTTTCCATATTGTTCAGAAGTCAATTTGCATGGAACCCTTTTGTGCATCTGTGACTTAGATGTTCCCATCTCATTCTAGCATTTTCTTGTCATGCCTTCAAGCTTCCCTTGGCTCTCCCTTTTCAGTGGCATCTCTTTCTTCTAGCCTTTTCTCTGTGGTCTGACACCCAGAGCAGTATAAAACTGAGCTCTATGGCCACAGGTAGCAATTCAGGGGTATGGACTGCTTACAGTTGAGGATTGATAGCAAGTTTACTTGGGATATTGGGTTAGTTTCATGTTTTAAGTACCAACTTAGATTTTTCTTAAGTGTTAAAATAGGTACTTTCTAATTCTAAAATGATCACTGCAGAACATGCTATTCCTTTTGAGAATTTCTTTTAGGTCAGTGACAGAATTCTGCCCCCTGGTTCTTCAACTCCAGAGAGCTAGTCAGCTGTTTTGGGGCTCCCCAGTGATCTCCAGACCAGCTCCTCTTTTCTTGCTTTCTGGGTGCTGCATCTGTTCTCTCCTTTCTATTGCTGTCTTTACAGTTAGCCACCTTCATCTTGCTGGACCATTTCCACATTACCCACAGTTCATCTTTTATAACAACTCTATTTCTTTTTGGTGGCATCTGCAATTCTCCAGCGGCTTTTATGGGTTTCTAATACCTGAACCTATGCGAGAACTTAGTCATGTTTGTCTGTAAACATCTATAGCCTGTTTTTTGGGAGCTCCCCAAATTTGTACTGTGTTTTAGGAAAGAGATTTGTTTTGTGGGGGTAAAGGGAAGCAAAATATTTTCTTTGCAAGACTTTTGAGCTAGGGACTGCCCAGAGAGCTTGTTCCTTCCCCTCCCCCAACCCTAGTTTCAGATTTACTGTGATTTAGGTTGGCTTGCCTCCCTGGGCTTTAGTGAGGCTGGCCCCATCCTGAGATGTGATAGGATGATAGCTTATATTCTTGCTGGACCTGGGCCAGTACTGATCATTCCTTCATTTCTTCCTTTTCCTTTATTCTTTCTTTCATTCTGATAAGCACCTACTGTATGTGACACTTCAAAGGGGAGGAAGATACAGCCTCCCCTTAGGGGACCTGAGACATACATGCACTAGCTATGAAGCTGGTTGGAGGGGGAGGTGGCCAGGACTATGAAGGGTAAGGCTCTAGGGAAAGGGCCAGGAAGTTCAGAGGGTGGAGAGATCACATCTGACCTGGAAGGGGACACTTTATGAAGGAGAGGAATGTTTGAATTGGTTTTTTTTCCTCTGATTTTAGTTATTTTTCAGTACATAGGTTTACTTTTTTTGTTTTGTGATAACAGAATGTAACCAGGCACTGTGCTAATAAACACTTTACATTTATTCATTTTCTCAATTTATCCTTTGGGGTAATTTTTCCCCATATAATTATGCTCATGATATATTTTATATATGCAGTATACCCTGCTGTGTCTACTTTATTTTATAAGGTTTTCCATTATTATTACAAATTATTTTTAAGTGTCATCTTTAATGGCTTCACAACAGAGTTACCATAATCTAGTTACCATTTTTTCATATTGGTGGATATTTGTATCTAGTTTTTTCTTATAGAAATGAGAACCACCATTATTGATGCCTGATACCTGCCAAATACTGTGCTACTGTGCTGGGTGCTCTATACTTAATGTCACTTTATCACACTGCAACCCTAAAAGATAGGCATTATTTCCCATTTTACACATGAGGAAACTGAGGCTAAGAAGGCATTATTTCCCATTTTACACATGAGGAAACTGAGGCTAAGAAGTTATGAAACATTAAGATCAGAGATAAGTAAGTAACAGACCCAGCTTTGCCTAATTCTAAAGCCTATGCATGCTCCTTCTGCTACTGCAGGCTGCAGGGAGTATTTTTATCATTTAGGTTTTTCTTCATTTTAGGATTATTGTCTTAGGATAGAGTCTCAGCAATAGAATTACTGAGTCAAAGGCTTTGGTCATTTTAAGGGTCTTGATACATATTGCCAACTGGTTTTTAAAAGGACTGTATAAATGTCCACTCCCACTGACTTGTATCTTCTCCAGGGATGGGTGTATTTTGGATTTGACCACAGAGTATTAAGATGTGATTAGCACACTCGTGTTTCTGGTGGGTAGTGTGCCGCTGATTCAGATCAGAAGACCCAAGATCATGCTTGGGAAATTGGCAGCATGCTTCCTGAGCCACTCCTGGAGACCAGGAACCTGGTTCTGTAGTTTTCACGGTCTAGGGATCCACCAGCCCATTCAGTGGAGGGCACTAGTGAATTCAGGCCTAGGGCTGTCCCCATAGATTTTGTAATCAGAGTCCTTAGTGTCTCCCCACCCACCTCAAGCAAGAACATGCCTGCTAAGAGTTTGCGTCAGGGAAAAGGCAGACATCTCTTCCAAGCTGGGGCTGTCTGAGAGAGGACATTAGATGCATGCAGTTACTGTCAAAGTGACCTGGTCCAGAAGAATGAGCCAGAATCATGGCACTCCAGGAAAGCTGTGGTATTTACCTTTGTTTTCTGCTCTTCCCCACTCAGGATCTTCTCGTTAGATTTATTTTCTTTTCCCTATGTTGAGAAAAGTAACTCTCACCCTCCTCCCCTTGTCGTATACACATGAAATCTAAGAAACACTTTCTCCTCTTATAGAGAAGAGATATCATGTGATCCTAAGAAGTCAGGACCACCCCTACTCTGTCACCTACCCCTTAAACTCTAGGAATGTTTCCTGAAAGTTCTTCCATCTAAGGTCCTGACTGACTTTTGTGTGTTCCCCTTATAGCACTGCAGGGACCTTGAGAGGTCATTGATCCATCTGGCTGCCTAGAATCCCTCCTTGGCTGCTGTCTGGGAACAGCCCTGTACATTTGAGGTTTCCTTTCTGTTTGGTTAGAGGCTTATTTCCCTGTGAGTGTCATCTAGGGTAGGGTGAGGTGAGGGGGGCCTTGTGCTTAATGGGAGATTTCTAAATGCACTGACCGCTGAGAGGGCTCTGTGAGTGTTGATTAGAGTTAAGCCCAGAGTGGCTGCTAATGTACATTCCTGACTGATAGGGACCAGATAATGTGCTCCAAGCAATATTTTTAACCTGTAGGAGATATGGAAGCTTAAAAGAGTTAAGCTTTTCTGCTACTTTTGGTGACACTAGGTGCTAAATTCCCTGCTGACATGAATAGCACTGGATTCTGGGCATTATCAACAAACAAACAATAACACACCACCTTCCCACTTTGAAGTCCTCTTCTTCCATTCTTTTCTTCCCTTGGATCTTTCTTTTTACTCCTCTCTCTAATTCTACTCTAGTTCTATCTCTGTCCTCCCATACTGGGCCTTGATCTTCCTCCCCCTCCCTACCTCCCCAAAGTAAAATCTTGATGAGAGAGAGGAAAAATATGGGGAGGTTGCTGAGCGAGGCAAGCCCCACCTACCCAGGCTTCTCAGTCAAGTCTCAGCTGAGGAATATGGAGCTTCTGATTCCCTGATATAAGATTGGCTGCTCGTAAGGGCTATCAGGTGAAAGTGAAAGGGTGGTTAGGACTGGGAGCCAGCGTCTGGGCAGCAGGCGAGCCAGAAGCTGGAGAGTCCCCTCTGCTGCGACCCAGAGCTCTGTGTATACAGGATAGAAAGGATTCTCCATTTCCCTGCCCCGCTAGGGGTAGTAACTCTACCTGGTGCATCTTTCCAGTCCCCATCCTGATCCCAGGCAATGCCAACGAGAGCATCTCCTCTCCTGTTTCCAGGTATGGCCTTTGGCCTCAGGCCGGCTGGGGCAGTGCTTACACACCATCCAGACTGAAGACCGAGTCTGGTCCATTGCTATCAGCCCATTGCTCAGGTAAGGGAGATGTTCTGCGGTATGGTTTTGTCCCGTATAATAATGCTTTTATTTTACGAGGTCAGGTGGGCATCATCAGGAGAGGCTTGGAGTCCATGTCCAGTTGGGCCCTCATCCAAAGTCATGTATGTGGAGTAGATTCATTGACAGTTGTAGCAGAAGTGCCAGTTTTTGATGGTGGCTTTACCCTATCCTTTGGCCTGACTGATACTTCTGTAGTTTTACCAGTGAATGAGTGAGCTTTGCATCCTGACTTCTGCTTTCTAGTCTCCCTTGAACTGAGGCAGAGCCCCTCTCCCCCCCAGCAGGGTACATAGACACCCTCTCTGCACCTGCTTTGTCAGAGTGTTTACCTAGTGTCTTCTCCCACTTCCTTCACCCCACACTCCTCACCCAGGGGATCAGTGGGAAAGCTGTGGGGCTGCCACCCTCCAAGACTAGGTTTAAGTCAGTCACTTGTTTTATGAGAGAGCTTGTCACCCCCTTTGCTCAGCCCCCTTCAGCCTTTTTCTCCTCACCCCGTGGAGCCTGCACCCCTCCTCCTGCCCCCTCCCACAACTCCCTCTCAATTTTTTTTCTTCCTAAAGAATTAGAGCCGATTAGCCACGTCATTAATTCTTCAATTTGACGGCTGATATAGCAGGACCTGAAACACATTGCTGACCTCAGAGAATGGAGACCCCGTTCCTTAGCATATTGACGATGGGAGAAGTTAATTAAAATTCCACAGAGCGGAGGTGTCGGCTAACCTATAAACCTGTCGCTGTTCAGAACAAATCATTCTAGCAATCCTAGGAAAGAAGGAAGGAAAGACCAGCAGGGAGTAGAAAGGCCTAAGTGTGTGGGAGCAGAGGGTGGAAAATGGAACCATTGAGCTTTGTCCTCTCCTCAGTTTCTTCCTAATGCTGCCCCTTTTAAAGCCAGTTAGCCAGGCTTGGGTATTTGTGGGCTGGATATGTGTAAGGATTTAAAGAAGGTGGGACAGCCTGTGGGAGGTGGCACATGGGCTGGTGACTTTGTCTTGGTGGTTACCTGAGGACTTCTGCTAGCTTCAGGAGACTTGGGTAGGCTTGGGTGAGGTCAGTGATGGAGGAATGCTCTTCAGGGCTGGAGATGGTCCATGTGCTTCCTGCACATGGATTTAGGCCAGAGACATGTACAGGCTCTCCCAGCATCCCATCCTCATGTTCCTCCACTCCAGCTACCTCCTCTGGAGTGTGTTAGGCCACCTGTTAACAGAATAGAGCATGGCATCTGTTGAAGATGATGTCAGTGAAAGAGGCTGAGGACAGAGTCTGCCTTCATCACTAAGAAGCAGTTTAGATCACGGTAAACTAGGTTTGAGGTTTTTTGGCCACAACGTGGAGGCTGGCTTTGAGAAAGGGTCTGGCTTCCTAGTGTTACTAGTGCTGCTCTGTGACTCCTGCTGTGACTGGAAGCTCCCATTTGTTAGTCATGTGCTCTATGCCAGACCCTCTGCTAAGTCCTTGATGTGCCTCATCTTTGGTGAAAAGTTAGGTCTCAAGTTTTCTTCACATTCTCCTTAAGTGTCTTTTTGTCCTCTCAATTTACTTTCTGAGCCCTGGGATGATTCTTTCATTTACTGTTGGCTGGCTATTCAGCTCCTGACCCACAGTTATTTGAGATGACCTTTTCCCCAAGTGCACAAATGGTATCTTGGACTCTGTTAAAAAGTAGTTTGCATTTGGGATTCTCTCATTACAATAGATGACCAGAGTATATGTGGTGTTCTCTCTGCCTCTTTTTCTCTTACCCAAAAAATATACTGTGATAGGGATCTTTTCACCTTATCATTCGATCCATTTCTTCCCACTGTGCCAATGAATGTGAACCTTTCAGTAAACTCATCCATTTCTCCAGTCTGGGGAGACACTGCTTCCCAGCCGTAGGGTCTGTTCTGGGAGACTGGAGTTCCATTTTGCTACCAACCAGCAGGGTGGCCTTGGGTAAGTCCTTCTCTGAGCCTCAGTTTCCTCATCTGTTAAATGTGAATGCCATTTCCCTTATAGACCCTACTAGATTGTTGTGAAGATGATCTAAATAATGAATATGAAAAGACTCTACAAAGCTAAAAGGGCTAGAAACTTGTGTCAGCCAGAATCTCTCCTACCTGGTAAAACATCAGTGGCTTTAGCTGCTCTCATGTCTCCACTCTTCCCTGGGGCTTCTCCTGGCCCCCATGGAGTTACACTGCTCTTCTGCAGTCTTCTTGAGGTGACGGCTCAACAGGAATCTCTCTTTCCTCTCCTTTTCCCCTGTGGTGTACCTGTCCTCCATGGCTGCCTTCTGTTCCCTTCCCTGTCACCTTTCTTGTTGAGTACAGTTGTCAGTGTCACTAATGTGCTGTGGCCGTGAACCCCTCATGAAGAACATGAGAGCGAGGAGGCAGCAGCTGTCTTCCAGGACAGATATTCCTCATTCACTTGACAACCTCTTACTCCCCCGCTGCTCCCTCATACAGTTAGAGGGATCCAGGACAGTTGGGATACCCAACACATCTCAGTCTCTTTCTTCTATTTAAAATAATTTGTCAGAGCTCTTCATCATATTTATCTTTGATGCTGGGACTTTCCTGCCTTCTTTTCATTTGTGTGTACTTAGAAACTTGTAGTATGAAACATGAAACCTCAAGCCCTAGGTGTAATTTGAGGTGTTCATGACTGGGAGAAAGCAGGTATTCTGTCCTGTGTCCAGATGTCACCCTTCCTTCCTCGACCTTGAGTTCTTGATTCGTAGCTTGTGGAGGATGATATTTAATACCAGTCATGTGCTGAGAGCCATGTTTTGGTCCTCAAAAACCACAGAAGGAAAGCCAGGACCCACAGGAAGGTGGCAGGCAAAGACCTTTCTCTCTGATTCCTATGTGCCCTCCTGCCCATCTTCTTGCCCCAACACTAAATAACCCTGCTTTTAGGATTCATGACTTACAGATGCAGCCCTCTTCTTGTAGCAGAGGCCCAGCCTGGAGCTCTTCGAGGAGTGGAAGGACAGGTTGAGATGGGACAGAAATGAGATGCTGGAGGTGTGCCTCTGGTGTAAGGGTACATATCTGGGTGTCATTGTGGGGCCAAAATACATTCAGCCCAACAAGTCTCAGACATGCAACCTCCTGAGGCCACATAGAGTTCTGAGTAATTTTCCATGAGTAACACAGAAAAGCAGAGTTTTTTAAATGTGCAATGCATTTTATTGCTGTTAAAAAATTATTTCCAACTGAATAAAGTTAGTAAATACTCAGAGTAAGGAAGTGTAGAACTATTAAAGACTTGATTTCATCCCTCCTACTTTCCACCTTTTTTTTTCTCACTCCCTTTCCTCCTTGCTCCCCATGTATTGACTGAACACTTGCTGTGGGGCAGCTCTCCCAAGGCCCTTACTCAGTGGTGGGGGAAAGCTGGTATATAGCTATAATGATTGCCAGACGATACTGAGTGCCTGGAACTAGTCTATCTCTGGTTGAGGAAGGGGGAGGGTCATTCCCCTGCTGGCAGATGGAGAAACTGAGGCTCAAGGAAGGGCACATGTGGGAGGGGGCAGGAGGGGCTCAGGTCTCTAGCCTGTTGCCACATGCTGTGGTGCTGAGCGAGGACCACGAGGCAGGCCTCTGGGTCATTGCTGTGCCTTCAACCACCAGAATCTCAGACAGTAGCTGTGACCCTTGAAAGGCTCTGTGGGGACCTGGGAACATTCTCTCTCCCTGGAGGCCAGAGTTGAGCTAGAGAGGGGTAGGGAAGGAAGGTAGTGTGTAATCAAGGTCTGGGCTCACTTGGGCACCGTACCAGGAGTGCCAGTGCACACAGAACTTCAGTTTTCAGGGCCCCTCCAAGACAGCTTGGGACGGGGAGGGTTGGTGAAATGAGTCAGGAGCCCCACTGGCCCTGTTTGCCTGGGAGCGGAAGAGAGAGGAGTCCAAAGCTCCTCCTTTCTCTGCAGACACCGTATTTATTGCCCTCCAAGAAGAGGGAGGTGCTAAGCAGAATCCTTCCCCATCTCCTCATAACACGTGCCACGGTGTGAGGGAGTGTGGTCAGGAAGGCTTCCAAGGACACTTGGATTTTAATCCCTTCTCTCTTGTTTCTGTCATTAGGGAAACATATGAGTGGTATAGGTGTAGAAACTTGACTTAGCTGTGTTATTAAGTATACAATATAATTTTGTGTAACTTTGCTCACTGTGGTGGCCTATTTGTTTTTGGGAGGATTAGTCCAAGTCTGCATGAAATGTACCAATTCAAATTTGTAAAGTGAGTTGTGGCCTCTGGGGGGTTTTGATGGAGGAGCTGCCCCTTCTTGCTTCATTTCTCCCAGAGGTGAGGGAGAGTCTGGGAGGAAAGCAATAACTGTGTACTGTTTGGTAAGGGAATGGGTTTCTGGGAGAGCAGGGTGTTTGTTCCCAGTGTGTTGTTTACTGTGTGTTGTGTATGTGGCAGACACACATTCACCAGCCTGTGAAATATGCTCTTCTTTAGTGAAAGGTAATTGCATCTGGAGTTTTCTCTGACAGAGAGGTCTGAAAGATTGGAAAAAGAGGCAGCCAACTTTCAGTTTAGATTCTTTTGGTTCCTGGTGCAAAATCCTTTCACCCTGGGCTTCCTAACTCACTCAGTGCTTTTAGGGGAAGACAAATCAAAAATAAAGGTTGCACCTCTGAGTTTTGCTTTTTCTAGTTGGCAATAAAGAGCTGGGTCCTGAAGGGGATCCCTCACCTTGATAACCTGGGGAGAGACTCTGGGGAATGACTTTGTTGTGCTTCACATTGTAGCTGGTCATCCTGATGGTCTGGCCCACAGCTGTCAAGATCTGTCTGTTTCCCCATCCCAGGGTCAGGGGCTTGTCTAGGTTAAGGAGACCTTCTCTAGGCAAGGAGTGGCTCAGTGTCCCCATTTGCCAGGCTGAAGAGCACACTGGAGGGAGCCTCCTGCATGTGGTGACACTGGATGAGACAGTCAGAGGCACAAAGACAGCATGGAAGGGCCAGAG